TAATAATGTTCCATAGTAAATAATGTAGAATCGTTCATCGAATTTATAATAGAAAAATTTCCAGCAGTAGAGGATTGAATAAAACTACTGAACATGGTAGTTAGTCGTGGTTATGCGCTTGGAAAATTTCCCGCTTTTAACATAAACTGTGGCCAATTTCCTATAGAAATTTTACCTAGAAGGCATATCTTTTTTTATCTTGCCCAAATCTGCGTTGCCTTATTCAATTTCATCGTATAATCCAAAAGATTTTTCTGCTCGCATGTGCAGAAACAAAATGGAAATAGCTGTTGAGAATTTTTAGTTTACATCCTTATGTTTAACTATAAAAGAAGAAAGTCGTTTCCCAAGATAAAATTTAAGGTCTACAAATTATAACACAATAAGCATTAAGAACATTTAGCTTTTTATTAAATATCCACCATTAATTTAATAATTATCTCAGTAGCCAGTTGGTATAGATATGAGACTACCAACTGGCTTTTCAGATAATTATTAAATTAATGTTTTAGAGGCGAAAAGCTTAAAACTATACGAATCTATATTTTTATATACAGTAGTTATTGATATTTTGATATGTGTAATGAAATGTTTTTTGTATTTCCTTAGTTAATTTTGAAAAATCCTAAAATCGTCGATAGATCACCAATTGTACACGACCTAGAAGGAGTTTTAGATAAATCTATTACGTTCAGGTTTGTTGAATTTATTTATATATATAGATAGAAATGAAATGCATAACCAGTCACACTGACTAGCACCTCATATGAGACATGTTACTTTAAAATGTATCATATGAGAGAAATAATCGAAAAGTTATATTATGAAGTAAAGCTGTCATTACTTTACGAGATCGATTTCATAGTTCTAGAAGAAATGCGAAACAGTTAGCTTATTAACAAAATTTGGGCCGAAATTTGAAAGACTTGAAGGCCTATAAATTCCCACTGTCGTCTGTTTATCCTTTTGTCCGCCAGTCTGGCCATCTTTCCTCAAGTTTCAGAACGGAGTTACATAGATGAAAGTCTGCTGTTGGCGAGTTGCAACCAGTGTTCAGTGGTTTTATGCACTCGGCCACTGCTGAGCATACTTCGTCTATAGGAAAATCCAAAGGCATCATTACGGTTCTTTGATACGATGACAAGCGACAATTAAAATGTTTTACTACATATTTCAATAGCGCGAACTCTAAAAGGACCTCTTTTTATCGTGGGTTCTACCAGGCTCACAATGGATGCGGCCGAACGAAAGAGACGGGACCAGACAATCCGAGGCATACCGCATATGAAAAATTTATGTTGTACACGTCTGTAGCGCCATTACGTATATCGTGTTTAAGACTTTGACAAGCATATTTGTTTTAATTCGTTAATTTAACTGCTTGACACCTAGACTCATCCGGTGCTGTAAATTACTATCGCTTAATATATAAGTACATTTAATAAACCGATATGATATCGATTCTTTAAGCCCACCAGCGGACAAAAGGATAAAAACACTGAACAATAGTCACAAATCGGCCTCACCAATGGGGTGATTTGCATGAATTTTTCCGAATTTACTTTGCGTGTTTAACACTTTATTATTGAATACATTAGTTCTAGTCATTTGCATTGAACATCGTATTATCGCATTCACCGCGCTGTCAAGTAACAATTATTCATTGTATTTCTATACATTTCGATTTAAAACGTACAGTACTTTACATGTATTTTGTAATTAAAAAAGCTATAATATTTAATAAATTACATTTCGAACTCAACAGTCCAAACGAATAACTACTTTAGTTACTGTGTGTATTTTTATAAATTCAAATATGGCCGAGCCTTTTCATAATTTTTGATAATTTTACTAAATGCATTTACATAAAGTATTAAGTTATATTTTTCTATGCAGTTCTTAATTTTAGTTATAATGCAATAATGTTCTTTTTTTTATTTCAGTAATGGCAGCAAATGAGTAAAGAAAAGAAAATTATTTACTCCTATTTTCCGTATTAAACAATTAGATGATTGTATTCCGAAGATAGAAAGACATTCGCGCAATACTTTAAAAAAATTAAAATCTTGCAAGAGCGATATCTCATTACCTGTAAAAGAAACAATAATGTCGATTGCTTTCGGTAAGTTTGAAAAAGTTTAATTATGTTTATATCTAGTGAAGAATCTGAAACACAGGGTGATTCAAAAGTCTTCTTACATAGGTAAAAGACGGCCCTGAGTATGCCGTCAAATAAGTCATAAAATATTTTATATGTTGATACTAATTAACTTGAATGCACACATAAACACTACAACTCCTGGACTGAGCCTATTCCAATCAACACCTTGAAAACAATTTTCTAGAGCATCTGATAAATTGGAGCGAGATCAAAAATTAAATAAACTAATATAAAGAGGAAACGTATTTCTCAATTGTGTTATCTACTGTATTTTTAATGTCCATTCATCTCTTCCTTCAGTAGTGCACCTGTCACTACTGAAGGAAAACGAAGATTACCTTTGCTCCTGTAAGCAAACGCGTTACCTGTATATATGAGAGAAGAAACTCCTTCGTCATGAAAATTCAAGCAAAAATAAGCATTTCTCAGTTGTAGCATTTATATTTGTTTGTTAACATGTTGAATTTTTATTTACCTGTCTGGACATCAACGTGATCTGGAAATACCTCTGAGGAATCATTAGGCTCTTTGACGAATCAGTATTATATTCACTATATCCTCGCATGACATTTATATTTATTTTTAGAGTTTTCGGACTTAGCAAACAATACATAACAATTCCTGGTAATGATCTATAAAATAGCAAACAAAACGGAACACAAACATGTGCTACAGTGAAAGTCCAGAAAGGTTCTAGAAACATTGCAAGTCTAGATCTGGTACATGTGCCACTCCGAAAATAATCATCATTTTTAGTTCCCGTACATACTATACGGTTTGTGTTATGAGCGGTAAATTAATCAACTTTTAACTTAACAGAACACGAAAACACATTGTAAAACAGAGGCGGTCAATTGACCGCCACCGAACACCAATGGTAAAATCGATGAAGTAACCAACGATCGCCTGAAAGATCGGGCTATAATCTGACTAATTAAACGATTGATATAAAGTAATTTGTCACTACAGATAGACGTCAGGCGCCATCTCTTAACTAAATTAATAATTATAATGTTTAATAAATTATTAAATACTTTTAAAACCTTCTGGAATAAAAGAACTAACCCGAAGCGAAGCTTAAACCCGCAACCTCCACTTGTCATGCAGCGTGCTAATCCGTTCATTTATTCCATCCAGAAGGTTTTAAAAGTATTTAATAATTTATTTATTCAGTTAAGAGATGGCAATTAACGTCTACCTGTAGTGACAAATTACTTTATATCAATCATTTAATTAGCCATATTATAGCCCGATCTGTCAGACAATCGTTGGTTACTTCATTATACACATAGTGCTTTAAGATAATTATTATTTAGGTAAAATCGATATTATCTCATAAACTTTATCCTAAAAAACAAACATTTCTAGTAAAAAATAATCCAGCAATTTGTTGCTGAACTTTCCTGGCAACATTTAAAATTTATGTGGCGTCATCTGTTAAATTTTATTTTAAAAAGTTTTATATTTTTAACTATTATTGAATGGCAAAAAGCTTAATTTTGAAGGTATAGAAGTGTTCTATAAAAAAATTGTAAATGCTAACAACTAGTAAAATCGTCATTAAGTGTGACCCAACTCGAGATACACACCACGCTAGTTGTGTGTACCTCCACCTCCATGACTTTTAACCACCAAACTTTAAGATCATTAATCACCTATTAAGCAGACCAACAAATTTCATAAATTTTCCACAAAGAAACACAAGAGTTATTAAGCTTCAAACAGGGCGAACAAAATCGTCCTTCCAAACACATACACACACACTAACAACCATATACACAGAAATTACCTGAGAATTTTTTGCATTTCTCAATGTTTGAATGTGTCCTAAGTCCGAAAATGTAAAAATCTTCGGTGTGGGTTATTTTTTGATCGATCGCAATACATTTTTTTCTGTTATATATAACAGCAGCTAAAGTAAAAGCTTTAGTAACACTTACCTAAATATCATTAAATAAACATTAACGATGATACGAAGATTAACCTATGAAAAGAAAACACAGTGGCATTCTTAAGGGATGAAATCTAAAAGAAACGAAACAACACCTGGTTAATAGGAAAGTAAGTGAAATATATTTATTTCTTGTTCTATTAGTTTTCATTAACACCTAAACCTGTTGTTCGATCTGTACCAAATTTTTATGCTCATTCTCTCTTGGACTTCCAGGCAAATATAAACTACATATAAAACATTGACATCACACCATTTCCCTGATTTCATCCCCTTATTAACTTCCAGAAAAATATAGACGTACGTGAAATTTGAACGCCCCACACTCCTCTCAACTTAATCTCCTCGACATTTCTTGATAAAGGTAACAACCTTAGGCTAAAATAGCAAAACTTATAACATAGTTTTTATTTTACATTTTTTCCGTTAATTTATTTAATTTAAAATATAAGCTCTCCACCTGAAATTAGTACTGGCTTGCCCCTGTACATCATACTTTCCTGCTAGCAATAGAGTCGTGCCTATTACCTATCTGACTCCTTTTATGAGAAAAGTTTTGAATCGAAATAACGAGATTTCCTATTCAAAATAGATATGTTTTATGCTTAATCTGGGCTTCCTGATGCTGAAATTTCCACATTTGTTTTCCACTTTTATCTACATAATTCTGTATTTAAGATTAAGGAATGACAGACAGTAGAAATTTATAGGTCTACAATGTTTTCAAATTGCAACCCAATTAATACTAGAATGGTCCAGTGATTCGTGGTTTTTTCTGTAATTTTGTGTTAAAATTATATTTTCAAATTTAACGAAAACAATTCTTTTTGGATAAGGTGACTTTGGTGTAAAATTATTATTTAATATATTATAATAATTATATTACAGAAACTATATTTGGATTTCAAAAGTCTCTACACATCGAAGAATTTCCTGTGATAGATAAAATATACGAATTGTAAGTGTAATTTGTTTTAAATGCTTTATTTTGTGATAATATTTTCTCAAATTATGTTTAATACGTAACGTTAACGGTTTTTTAAAAACATTTTTGTTTTGCTGAAAAGAAAAATATGTTTTAATACTGATTATAATAATAATGAGTTTTACGTTTTATTTACAGAGTGGTTCAAAACTCGCTTAATAATTAGATAACTGTTTGTAATTGTTATTAAATTAAATAATTAAATTACTAGAAAAGAAGTTTCCACAAATTTGAAAAAGTACGTAATAGAAAAATAATAGAGAATTTTTAAATGGTAAAGGGATTTATGGACCACCCTAGAAACTGATGCATAATTAACTTTTAGGATCAAGTTATTTTTTTCCTTTTGGTTCCCACGTGTAAAATAATAATAACAACCCTAGGTATCATGTTAATAAAGATGATAGATGGATACACGTTAACATGTGTTTCTATCTATCAACATCATCATCATCGTGTTTTGGTTTCATACTTGTGCTGCATTTTTGGTTCTTAGCAATAGAGAAATTTGATATGAATAACATCTGGGTGATAACAACAACAACGCCAACAACTGTTCAAACAGAATGAATCGTATTATGCAGCATGAGGTCTGTATTAAACGTATTCTCACAATTAAAAATGTGTACACTACACAAAAGTCCAGAAACATTAAGCCTTAATTAAAACATATAAATGGCACTAGAGAAAGCTGCAATATTTAACACGTTTCACAATGTTAGCAAATTTCTAAATGTTAATATATATGTTATGGACAAAGTGATTAATACGGGCATTATGAATAATTCCCGTATTATTCATAATGCCGAATAATGCCCGGGCATTATGAATAATGACCAACAAAATCGGGCACTGTAATAAATTTCAATAATTTATTAAATTGACCGGTCATTATGAATACTGCTACCACCTAGTCGGGCAAAGTGATAAAATATGTTAAGGAGTGATCATCCGACATAGTTAGCCAATCAGAACTTACATCTTACTTGCTCACGCGTATTGCATTTAGTACCGAATTTTAAATTTATGTGTTCAGTAGTTAATCTTTCTTCTTTGACGAAAGTAACGATCATGGAGGAATCATTAAGTGATATGAATAATCGCTTCAACAACCAATTAAACGAGCTAAAAACAAAAGGGCTGAAGAAGTAGCATATATTCTTTTGGTTTTTTTTAACAATTTTTGGTGCACCGAGTATTCTACAAAGCGATAATGGCAGAGATTCCCCAATAATATCATCAAAGAAATGTGTAATATGTGGTCCGAGTTAAAAATGGTGCATGGAAAGCCCAGGCAATCACAAAGTCAGGGTTCAGTAGAAAGATGTAATCAAGACGTAGAAAATATGCTTAGTTCTTGGAGATTAATAATACTAACAAATGGTCGGAAGGATTACGTTTTGTACTACTGATGAAAAATCGAGCGCACCATACTGGTATAAACTGCAGCCCCTAAGAGGCCATGTTTGGAGCAAAGTTAAAAGTTGGACTAAAAAATTTTATACCCAACGAATCCTTGTTCAACGTTAATACGGAAGAGGATCTACAGAGACTTTTTAAAACTATCAACGAAGTAAGTCAAAGTTGCTCAAACTCTGAAAGTCCGGGTACCGTCCAAGAAAACATGATAAAATATTATTTCATAATACTACCCTTACATAGCAATATAACTGATGAAGTTGAAAGATCTACATCGTCTTCACGTGAAAAAAATCTAAACCAGGATGATATTAGTATTACAGAATTGGTGAATGAAGAAGAAACAATCCAAACAATTGATCCAAAAATAGAAGAAAAAATAAGAAGTGTGTCTAAAACAAGGGCTTTGTTTAATCTTAAAAAGCAAGTAGAAAAAATGATTAATACATCAAATTCCAAATACACAGCAGCTATTGTTGTGATACAGTATGGATTCGTGTCCCTGATGTAGATCAAGCCCGCAGTGATGGAAAAAATATTTTAGGTGTTGTTGTTGCGGTTAAAGATAAAAACCTTTACAAACTGGGTACCAAACATGGCATATTAAATCTATTATATTCCACAAACCAATTTACTGTTTGTAAAGAAAACTTTATTTCTGTTGGAGATGTACCGGGTGCAGAAATTTCGCTTAGAGAATGTGCAAGAATGTCATCAATTTCTGAAGGCCACAACTATAGTTAATGCTGCTGAAAAATTGGTTGAAAATCTAATAGATGCAAATGCTACCAAAGAAAAAAAATTTATGTAATTCCAAATGTCATGAAAATGTTAATTGCTCAAATAAATAAACTAAAAAGCATTTAATTTTTTATATAATTTATACCAAAAATTGTTAATAATACTTTTCGTTAATATTAGTTTAATTAATATAGTTAATAGTACTTTGATATAATTTACAAAAAATAAATATTTATAAATGAAATAAGTGGAGTTTTTTTAATCAAATTTAAAATTCTGTACTAAACGCTGTACGATACGCACACGCAACTCAGCGTGCCGATTGGCTAGCGTATGTCAGATGATCACTCCTCAACTTATTATTATCACTTTGCCCGACTAGGTGATAGCAGTATTCATAATGACCGGTCAATTTGATAAATTAATCAATATTTATCACACTGCCCGCCCTATTTGGTCATTATTCATAATGCCCGGTCATTATGAATAATGCCCGATTAATCACTTTGTCCATAAAATATATACCAAAAACACAGAAGCACATTAATGTAACATTTGTTTGGGTAGCTATGCTTTGACTTGAGTCCTGCATAAACACTTGGAACAAGTATCAGCTGAACATGACATTTACAAATATTAATAATTTAAAAACGTGAATTTTCAATAAGAATACAAAACAAGTAACTGATTTTATTAAATTTCAAATGCATTCAAACATGAATTCGAAAAACATACATCACGCGATTTCAATGCCGAATAAGCTGTAACTTCAAATTCTGACAAATGGTTCTATTCTTTTAGACCTCGATGCTATTCTCCAATCGTCACTTTTCTTGTATTTATAATTCTACAAATAAATTCATAATTAAAAGCGTTTCGCACTGATACGAAATTGTCTAATTAATGCAAAACTCTCACCATAGCCATATCTGGCACAGGTATGTAAATAATTACCGTTGTGGTTCGATAGGACGCAGGTAATACCATCAGCTGGCTCTGTAAATTTGTGGAAAGGTTTAGAGAGGGTCATGGTATTCAGAATTTTTAGTGTACTGTACAGTACCTATTGTTTGGAGATCTTCGAATGCCACGTATGCATGTACGATGTTGTCAAAGACATTACTTACAGCTGATGAAGTTTGACAATGGCGCATCATTAGGAAAGAGATGTAGATTAATCGTTTTTCGACATGACTGTGAGATATAGCGGATACTTGAGCGCCTGTAAGAGTTCACAGTGTGGTCAGGCTCTGAATGTCACAGACACACTGCCATGAAAGATGATAGTTTGATTGCGAGATAAGTACGAACAGCTGCAACGCCGTCTTTGATCATCAAGCACATTCGGAAGCACATAGAAGTCTCAGTATAGAATTTTGTATTTTCCTATATCGTTAACGAGTGATTAGCAGAGGCTAATTTTCTTGCAGATTACTACTATAAGTTCTGTCATTAGGACACATATCTTCGGTGTCATTAGGACGCATCGTCAATTTTAGAGCTGCCATGACAAGGAAACATAAACTGCCATGGACTGGCAGAAGGTGATGAATCTCGATTGTGTTCGGGAATGGACGACTACTGTGTTATGAAATGGAGAACCATTGGCAAACGTTTCAATCCCATGTCTACATACTATGAGCGGTATACTGTCTCATGATGAGATGTTGGTCTGGCAAATCATCTCGTATGACAATCGATCATCCATAACAGTAGTGCTCGAGGCATTGATGGCAAAACGATATGTTTAAAAAAATTCTGTACCCTCACTTTGTCATTCATGGCAGAGCTGCTTCACAATTTTCTAGCAAGATAACGTTTAATCAGACAGCTAAGGTTTCACAAAAATGTCACCTTACCACAAATGTTCGGCCTGCAGATTTGCTACTATTGGTTGAATCAGATCGATGGAATAGAGCATCCAATCTACCAAAGGAGGTGCCTTTTCAGAAGACTTTCTATGGGAAATTGTTCCCTTTAGAAATATGAAAGACACCCAGAAAACTCGACGTGGCACATATCAAAGAAGAAATAAGCACTTAAAGTTCCCAGGTTTTATTTACTCGGCCACTGGTAGGCCTGACCATTTGTATGACCAGATGGACCTCATCTTCCGCCATGTACGAATGTTAGGAATCCGAAATGACAGATGCGCCATCTTTTCACAAATTTAGCGTAGTACAGCGAATGACGCTTTAGAGTTTCCATGCCCGCGATTTCATCTCTGTACTTATCCTGTCAAAAGGCTACGTGCAAGATATTAAAGGTTCGTTAACATTGTATCGTCATTTCTCAAAAAAGTTTCTTTGCTAAGATATTGTAATAGTTTCTTATTAACGTCATTATATTTGTACAAACGCAGTATTCAATTACAATACCTCTACTTGGTGGGTAAGTTTTTTTGACAGTAAATGTATTTTGCATTAGTAATTGCTACATTGTTGAACCTATTACTCTTCTTAAGGCTTCTATTCTGATCTTTTACGACAAGTACTAACAAAATATAAAATTATATTTATTACAGCGTGAACAAGATGAGTTGGAAACGAACAGTCAACGTATTTTTCAGATCANGGTCTGGCAAATCATCTCGTATGACAGTCGATCATCCATAACAGTAGTGCTCGAGGCATTGATGGCACAGCGATAAGTTCAGGAAATTCTGTACCCTCACTCTTCGTCATTCCTGACAGAGCTGCTTCACAATTTTCTAGCAACATAACGTTTAAGCAGATAGCTAACGTTTCACAAAAATGTGACATTACCACAAATGTTTGGCCTACTCGGCCTGCAGATTTGCTACTATTGGTTGAATCACATCGATAGAATAGAGCATCCAATACGTGGACAATTTACCAAAGGAGGTGCCTTCCAAGAAGACTTTCTACGTGAAAGTGGCCCCTTCAGAAATATGAAGGAAACGCAGATAACTCGACATGGCACTTACCAAAGAAGATATACGCACCAAAATTTTCCAGGTTTTATTCACTTGGCCACTAGTCAGCCAGAGCGTTTGTATGACCAGATGAACACCACTTTCCTCCATCAACGAATGTTAGGAATCCGATGTGACAATTGCGTCATCTCTTGAGAAATCTGGCATAAAACTGCGAATGATGCTTCAATGTTTCCATGCCCGTAGCGTTATCTCTGCACTTTTCCTATCAAAAGGTTACGTGCAAGATATTATACGTTTGTTAACATTACCATCATTACTCAAAAAACTTTTGGAACGATATTATAATAATTTCTTATTATCGTTATCATATTTTCACCAACATACTAAAATGTTATTGTTATTTAGTTTCAAGTTTTTTGACGGTAAGTGTAATTTTGCATTAGTAATTGCTACATTGTTGAACGTATTACTCTTCTATTCTGATCCTTTTCGACAATTACTAACTAAATATAAAATTATATTTATTACAGCGTGAACAAGATGAGTTGGAAACGAACAGTCAACGTATTTCTCAGATCAAATTTAATTTTTGATTATTTTTCGAATGGAAAGAAACTTAAAGAATATTGCAATGTCTTAAAAGAAATATCTGAAAAAGTTATCTTTTCTTTTATTTTAATAAGATTTTTAAATATTGTTATGCAATTATACAATTCTATTTCTTACAGATACTATTGAAAAATTTACGTTCCACTGAAGATAATCGTGATGTTAAATATGATGATTTGGATAACGAAAGTACAACGTTTATCGATATATTAAGTCGAAATTTAAAACTGAAAAAGTATATACCTGACGAAGTTCATCAGAATTTCTCCGCACTTACATCTGCTGTATTTATTCCTACTTTTTATATGTTTCATTATAAAGAATATAAGTTAAAATTAAATCATTCTACCATTTGAGCATAAACACAGATAATACAATATCACCAGCGGCTAAGTATATAACACCGTTGAAAATGGGTGTATTTGATTCCGGGTTTTCTCCTGACCAAAGAGTTGGCCGAGTGGAGTTTTACAAGTTTTTCATACGTGTAACAACAAAATAATCGCAAATGCCGACTAACAATTTGAACAAGAAATCAACTTGCTCTGCTCAGTGTTTGAAAAATTTATAAATAATTAAAAGATAATATCTTTACATATATTTCTCACACCTTTTATATATGTCGTATATAATATTATACGTTAGTTGTGTGAATTGATATAAACTATAGTTTGAAAAGAATTAGTATAAAATTTGTAACCTGTGTATAAATATGAAGGTTTTATATTACTGTTCTTAATACTATATTTCAGTTTCTATACCGTGCAGTTCCTTAAACAATATTCACTAGACAATAATTGGGCAACGCTTGACAATTGTAAATAAATAAACTTTTAAACGCACTCTTGTACAGTACTGTACCAGTTATCTGGCACATGAAAACCAGCTATTTTTGAAAGTAGTTTTTAATTTAATGGGCTATAATACAGCTGTAGCTGGTTCACTCGGCATACATTCTAGTATGACTGCTGGAATGCGTTGTGTTGAATACAGTTAGTTCAGTTCCTTACTCTCCATTATCGATTTTATACGCCAAGTAAGTATTTAGCCTCCATCCAGACAACCGGAAAATTTAAAAAATACTACCAGACCCAAGCTTGCAGGATCTCTGTATAAGATTCCAAGTTTTTGGTTACTGGTTTATCAAATATAATTTTCCTTTTTCGTTATTTTTATCATTTATTTTATAGAAATAAGTTTTTGGAAACCATTTGTATTCTTCTACTCAAAAGTATTGTTAACGTTTGTCAATCTATAAGAATTACTGAAAATGATTTCGATTATTATTTTTTCAATAGGCTTATACTACATTATCGAAAACAATATGCTGGTGTTTGTACGAAGTTGGAAAAAATCCTGAAATTCTGGCAAAAATACAGGATGAATTAGATTCTATACTCGAAGATGTCAATTCTCCTATTCGAAAAGAAGAGTTGCAAAAAATGGAATATTTAGAATGTGTCATTAATGTATGTTGTTTTCTGTTACACTATGGAAATATTATAACTTTAACTTTTGTAACGTTTCGCGTTATTATTACCAGTAAAAATATATTAACACTTTAGTAATTCTAAATATGTGTGTGCTGTACTGTATATGTAACGAACCAGGTACGCAATGAGGAGAGAAGTGGCTTCGCCATGACAGACCATTGCCTGTAAGTGACTGCGGAAGCTGCACATTTATCTCCCCTATTGTGAAGTTAGTTCGTCATATGTACTGTACATGTAGTCTATATTATAAAATATAAGTACGTGAATGTATTTTTACGTATAGCGTAGTTAAGAGTCGCACTTATTCTACGCGGACCTTAGTAACGAAATGCCAGTGTGCGGTTAATAACTAGGAGGCACGATCCGGGTTCGATCCGGTCATAGAAGAAGACGTGGGATAATTCTCTGGTTGTACGTAACGCGTTACGTGGTTAATTTGTCGGGGCGGGTGTAGATTTTAGAATTTTTTTGTCTTAGCTGAGAATTATGCGAAAACCTTATAACTTCCTGTATCTATTCGTATGTTACATCTATCCCTCGCTAGTATTGTGTTGTTTAGACTTATAGATTTGGGTTTGCAGATCCGTTTTATCGTTTTTAAGCTCGTAGTTTTGCATATTTTTGGGGGAGTAAATAAATACGCGGACTTTATCGTATTTCTAAAAAAACACGTCGAATACTTGAAAAGTAAGCTAAGTGTGTCTTCCCTCTCCAGTTGAAATTTCTTTTGAAGAACCGAAAGATTACACACGTCATGGTCAATAGTTACGAATTGAATCATTGACAGTGCACTCGAACTCGGAGCCATTCCTGTTTATTAACACGTGACGCCCGTCAAAGGTCGGTGTCGTTAAGCATTTAAAGAGACTTCCGTTCTATATCCTTTCGCCTTCGTTTAGACTTAAACTGATTTAATCCGGCGGCTAATTCCTGTTTAATAAGGAATCGGATGATAAACGGAGATACAAATTGATAATTAACTCTTTACAAATTTGTAAAATGTTTAATTGCTTGTTGTAATCAGTCCATTTAATCTAGTTTTACAATTCCAGACAGAATAAATTAACTTTTTTCTACTTTCAATCGCGGCTCGGTCTTGGTAAAAAAAGAAAAACAAATACAATTAATTTCCTCAAAAAATTATTTTAATTATTCCAACGACCTGTTCCGAAAGACCTGGGAATTTAATTTAATTTTACTTCAAATTCTTTCCGGTTATTTGAACTATTTCCAAATATTTGTCTATTTTATAAAGCATAAAAATTAAATAAAGATTTTTCTTCTCTAGTCTGATCTGTTGGTCCATCGATCTATTGTTTTTTGCTGTTGTTTTCGTAATTTTCTTTGTTTTTTTCTTAATCTTTCTAACATCTGTCTCAATCTCTTCTATTATTTCGATGTCTTCATTTTCGTGGTAATCGGGATTTTTTATTCTCGCCCCTTCACGAGTTGCTTTGTCCGGATTAAAGGGGAAAGTTTGAATGATGCGATCATTTTCAGATGTTATATTTTTCTGTATTTATCCTATTCTGTTTTTGATCTTTCAATGTAAGGCTTCTTAGCTTCAAATTCCAATTGTTTCCATCTTTTCCCCAATATTCTTGTCACTTTAGTGACTCGCCTTACTCCCGCTGCTTGAAGTATTTTTATTATCGATAGGATAAGTCTTAATAACTTTACACGGTATTGTTATTTATCACAGGAAACAATGAGAATGTATCCAGCAGTTCCTATAACGGCTAGATTATCGGAAGAAGAAATATCTGTTGGTAAAGATGTCATTTTTAATACTTTTCAAATAGCATTACGTTCATAAAACACTGACAACTTTAACATTTGACAGGCAACCAGATTTTTCCTTCAAATTGTAATTTTCTGATATCGATTTATCATCTTCAGCGAAATTCAAGATATTTCCCTAATCCGAACAAATTCGATCCACTTCGATTTCTTCCATCAAATTCAGCAAATAGGCATCCTTATTGCTTTATACCATTTTCAGCTGGGAGAAGGAATTGCATTGGTAAGTTTTATAAAAATTTAAGTAAGGGTTTAAATTATTATTAAGAATTTTTATTTATTTTCGAATTGATTCGGCATCACATGTTCTCAACAAATAAGGAATTTCAGAGGTTATTGATCTGTTTTTCTTTTAAATGCTAAATAAATCTATTTATATAATACAATAAAACAGCCATTTTCTTTTCTTTTCATTTATTTCTTACACAAATTATTAAGTTTTAAATACCATTAATACAAAATATTAACAATTTCATTGTCATAACTTGCATTTATTTTTTATTTTCTGTATTAAAATGTGTTTTTTAATCCTCTGCGCTACAAAACAAAACAGTACAAATACATTAATTGTAATTTACAATAATGTATTTGAACAAAATCGTGCCCCTCACACACTAACATCTATAGATACAGAAACAACCCTTGAATATTTTTGCATTTTTTAACATGTGAAAGCTTCCAATCCAAGTGTAAATATCTGGTAGGGTCATCTTTTCTCACCGATTGCCACAGTTTCCCTCTGTTATATATAATAGCCGAGTAACTAAAATTACAAGATATATATATATATATATAACAGAACACGTTATTGAGAGAATAGGATAATATATTCGAACAATCCAAAAGCCAAAACGATGGAGTGTGCAGCCTTTCCAGCTATAATACTCCGATAGAGCAAAAGCGTAAGCATCTAATAATCCGGCCGAAGCTTTTAACTGCTTGGCCTTGGGTAAGAATGCGGAATAATGCCTTCCGGGATGTCTTTTAAGTGTAACTGGCTTTTATTCAGGTGTTACAGAGGTGGAGAAAACCCAGAAAACTCCACACGGCCAGCCCATCCGGGAAGGGTGCAAACTTACGACCGAACTCCCAGTGTTCAGGGAACAGAACCACTTTGGCCATTGTCTGTTTATTTGATCAAGTATCATTTAAGAACATTTGAACCGATTTCTATGAAACTTTGTATGTACTGTACATTAATTCAGGATAGTATACATCATTTTCTCTAGCTTGTAGCCCGGTACCTCAATTAATTATGTATAATTTTAAAATATATAAACGTCAATAATTATCTCTTGTATATTTATGCAAATTATAAACCTAATATTTTTCATTAATTAGTATTTATATAATAATTTTACACAATCTGAATTACGAATGTTATATTTGTAGGTAATCGTTACGGAATGTTGGTGATGAAAATCTTTCTAGCAATCGTCTTCAGACATTTAAACGTTGAATCAATAGGAAAAGTTAAACCAAAAATTATGGGAATAGCTTTGGAGTCGAATGTACCATTCCGTTTCAGAATAAAAAGCAGATGTTAAACTTGCTGTTATTCATGGAATATAATTATAAATAAAGAAATTTATATTATAAATAGAAAATTTGAAATAATATATGTCTCAATATCTTATTTTCGTGTACATTTTTTCACAATATTAAAAATAATTTGATAAAAAATTAATTTTTTGTTATTAGATATTGACATTTTTTAACTTGTAAACGTTGTATTAACAACGTTTACAAATTAAGAACAGTTAGGATTTTTAAGGAATAATTTTGGACTGTAATATTTTAAATATTACAGTTCACTTGTTTCAATTTCTACTTGTTTTCACATATCACTTGTTTCAATTTTGTTTCAATCACTTGTTCAAATTGAAACAAGTGATACACGGTGACATTTCTAGACAGTTGTGTTAAATACGTGAGACTCGGCCTTGTTTACTTAACTACTGGCTGACCTAAATCGTTAACGACACTCTTTTATCGTTTAAATTTCAAATTTTCAGGGTTGTGGAGTCGCGTAAAAATCTCCCAATTCCAGCTCCGACTCCGACTTTTCCTTATCATCAGACTCCGACTCCGACTTCGTTTCATATACATAACAAGTTGGTAACTAAAAACGGAGTCAGAGTCGGCGGACTTTTTGACAACTCTGACTCCGGCCAAAACACCAAAACTCCATGACTCCGACTCCACAGCCTTGCAAATTTCACACCTGGTACGTAATCACTCAACAAGTTCTCGGTCGCGAAAGGACCTATTATTGCAAGTTGTCAAATGAATATAACTAGAAACCGATATTCGAGGCAGTTGCCACCGTTCCTCCGATGTGTTACCGTCTTCACCCGACATTCAGAAGTGATTTTTCGTACCAACTCATCACGTACACGCAGTGCAAATTCTTGGATTTATTTCATCGATCTACAAACCTATTAAGTGCCTAACCTTTGGACTACTTCATCGGGAACCCAACGTACTAAATGCCTCCTATGGGATTATCGACAACGCCGACTCGGAACAATCGAACAAAGAAAAATAATTCGCTTTGTAGATATCCAGATCAATGGATATACAATTTTCTTATAAAACTCATTTCTACAATCGAAATTAAGTTTGTTTTCTAACTTATAATAATAAATTAATAATAAAAGATTTTCATATAAAATATCATTACCGGTACTACATACAATTATAAATTATTTTGCTATGAAAGTTATGCAACTCATTTCTGGAATTTTATATAATTTATAATAGAAAATGTTATACGATATTATTTTATCGATCATAAATGTTTCCAAAGAAGAAAAATGCATATTAGAAAGTATGATCAATCTATCAAAACGATCAATTATCTATAATTAGTCTTCCATCAAATTCAGCAAATAGGCATCCTTATTGCTTTATACCATTTTCAGCTGGGAGAAGGAATTGCATTGGTAAGTTTTATAAAAATTTAAGTAAGGGTTTAAATTATTATTAAGAATTTTTATTTATTTTCGAATTGATTCGGCATCACATGTTCTCAACAAATAAGGAATTTCAGAGGTTATTGATCTGTTNAAAACGATCAATTATCTATAATTAGTAATTTTAATCGATTTTAAACGATAAAGAAAAGTGAAGTATGCATTTTACGAAGCATTATTGAAATTTTTCTCATAAAATTTTAATATTGATGCAAATCTATAAAAAAATTCTACCATTACCATTATGAAACTAAGTAGTCTTTTACATTTTCTAATGTCTTAATGGATAATTTCTTATTATGGTCGATGCGTGATAAACATTCTTCCAATAATATTTTGCCATTTGTCTTGAATAGCAAACACGTGCATGTGAATTTTTATGACATTACCAGAAAAGTGAGTCACTCGTTTGATTTTACACAGTTAAACTCACTACAACAGCAATGGACTCGGTTGTAATTAACGAAATCTGTATCAGTTGCTTCTTAATAAATACCATGTTAGACAACTGATTTGATTTACGATTTTGAACCTTTCGAAGCATGTAATTCACTATAATAAGGTTTTGTAAACACTATTCTCCATTAGATCAACAATGGCCGAATTCATACAACCACACGTGGGAAGGATCAACGGGCTGGCCACGTGGATATTTTTTGGACTTTTTGACAAGTCTTACACCTAAATTTGTTCTAATTCTTTCAAATTTTATAGTAAAACAGATAAATTTGTTTGTGTGTTTTTTTATTACGCAACTCGAGCGATCTGACTAGAGGAATGCCTTGCGGGAGGTGTTTTTAAGGGTAACTGGCTGATATTCAGACATGGAGATAGTGCGGAAAACTCCACGTGGCCAGCCAGGGAATGGAACAGCTTGGCTACTGGTGGTTCATACATTAATTTAATTTTAATTTTATTAAATTTAAGCAGTAAACATTACAAAACTGACTAATTCTCAAAGTTACGCTAATGAATATTAAAAACTTAAAACTGATAATAATGCACGCTCATGATCTTGGCTCAATTTAATTTGGGAGTAAATATTTACTGTACTTAATTGAAATCTTCTTATAAACGAATTACTTACATTGCTTTGTAATTTATTACAAAAATCTTAAGTAACTTTACGTAATTTTCAACTATACGTACGTTAAATTGAACTAACTCAAACACTCTTCGTACCTTAAATGCTAATATTTATAACAAGAATTTAATTAATATACAAGAGATGTTGACTATTCATTCAATTAAATCAAGCTAGTATTATAAACCTAAATGATTAAAACCATAAATAATAAGAGCCACTATAAATCGGTTCTTAGATTACTCCTCTTAATTAATGCTCTTACATAAGGAAAAAAAATCTAAAGCCAAAATAAGCCAATAGTACGTGTCTAGATGATGTATTCTGGTCAAATGCAAGAAGATATTGTAGAAATGGATTCGTTTGTAACTAATACAATATGCATGAGTTGCATAATGAGACCATTTTGGACAACTGCCTTAATCTACGGAGTAGAACCTTTTCAAACTTGTAATTGCTTAAATACTGATTTTTTTATTATAAACAATACGAAATATAAAAGAAGGTACGTAAATCTTATCGAATTTATTTTTTGGAATCATTCCTTTATTATATTATGTCAGATTATATCAAGTTCCGAAAACAATACACCCTGCAACGGTTGGTTCAACGTAGTTAATGGTAACGCTACGTTGATGAAATGTACAATGTTATTACTAAGCGGTTCTTGCGCTTTTATATTCAGGTTTTTGAAGAATAAAAAAATAAATATAAGAATAGAATTAAGAAACGAATACATTCGTGAAAAGATTGTTTTCATAAATTCTTTAACAAATAATCTTTGTGTGATTTGTTCTTTGGGAATTCTTTTGGTATCGGTTTGCTTTCAAGTCTTAAATATCTTTTACTTTTATCCGGCGGTCGAAATGTCTGAAGTGTTTAAGGGTGAAGCTTTGCTTTGTACTGTTGAACTTGGATTATTCTGCACTTTAAACTATGGTTTAGTTGGCTTCGGTTTAATAATGGCATTAGTATTGTTAATTATAATTGAAATGGAATTTCAACAACTCTCGCAACACTTTTCAGAAGTCAGAGTAAACGATATAAACGTGTATTTGAAAGTACAAAATCTTATGAATCGTCACGAAGAACTATGGAAATTCGTTGATGACCTGAATACGAAATTCAATTATATTGTTTTGATTATTTATTTCGCTGTCACTTCACTGACAAGTTTTCTGTGCTACACATTCTTGCAACACGATAGAAATGACCCAGTTAGATTCGGATTACTTGGACTACTTATCTTGTTTACCTTTATATGTATCATTGCTGCCTGCTTGTTGTGTTCTTTTTCATTTAATGTAAGTATACAATGCTTAATGTATTGTGTTCATAACTCTAGATACTAAATAAATTCATTTTGTAGATGGAGAACTCTTTTCAGGACATCCGACAGATTTCTGTATGCAGATTACGTATAGAAAAAAAGTTGAAAGTATGTATTAAAACACTAATATAGCCGAACCTCTTAACAATGGTCACCTCTAAATATTGCCATTTTTTTTTTTACTTTTCCGGCTCTATTACATATAATACAGGAAAGTATTGTGATTATTCAAAGAGGGGAAATACGATTGTGTTCACTCTTTTTGAAGCTCAATAACTCTTGCGCTTTTTGACGAAAATATCTGCAATTTTGCACGGAGATTTGTTTATTAGGGTGATAAATGATATTAAATTTTGATAATTGAAGGTCGAGGGAATCGGTATATAATGGGTGTCGTATGTATCATCAGTAGGGTCGATTCCAGTAGCTGATTTTTACTGCTGTAATTATATTTGTACTATAAATTAAGCAAATATCAGTAACACATCGGGCATAAAATTAAACTAATTAAAGCTAATAATTTTTACTACAATATACATTTCTTCTAATACAATACTTATTACTTTCTAGATTTTAAATTTCATGAAACGATTTGGAAAAGTATCCTTATGTTTGACGATTGGTGGTGTTTACACCGTCACAAAGTGGATTCCGTTCAGAGTTTGTATTTATTAAAATATTTATATATATAAATATACGTAAAATACAGTATAACAAAGCAATAAACGTTGTTGATTTGAACTATTTTTATACTGTATTTTCGCTGATTTTCTGGTGTATTCGAGAAAATACAGTAGTAATATTCTCCATTTACTCTATCATTTATAAAATGATTTTTTACTATTATTTAATTTAATTTATGTATTTAATTTTTTATTTCAGATTGCAAGTACTTTACATTCTTTCTTCTCGTCTTTTATGAAGTTTAAAGGCATAAAATCGAGAGATAAAATCGTTTGTCATCAATACAACTCAACGGAATGGCATTAATAATAGAAATATAATAGATTGATTGATAGCTTTGGTTAATTGTTTGAGATATTTTACAGCTTTTTCTTACATAAACCGTATTCAATGATAACAAAGTATGTCATTTCCTTTTTATAGCGTACATTTAATATTTATTCCCCTTTCTCCCTTCTATAAAAGATTCTCCTA